TTCGACTGTCCAAATAATTAGGGAAGACTGTGATTCTAATACTTATTTTGTTAAATCCCTGTGGGAAYGATATTATTATACTACTTGATAACTAGTGCACTTGCTAGGGTTATATATTTATAGCTATCAGCTTACAGGATTATATGATATGACTGGTTCACATCCTGCAAACTGCAGCTAAGTTGAAGTTCTATTTTTGGGATGATGACTGCTTCCATACACCAAAAGATGAATTGTGATTTATTGTGCCACCTTGTCGAATTGTTTTAGCTGATCTAAAACTTGTGCCATGCACTATTAGATACGGAATGCCATAGACAAAACCCAACATATGAAAATGGACAGGGTGTTCATAGTGAAAAAAGGATAAGAAGAGATGACTAAGATTGCATGATTGGAAGAATCCTACATGAACAAAGTATGTGGAAATGAAAAGAGACCTAAAAGTTTCTTTTTTTTCAATTCCATGCATCTTTTGTTTTGATGTACATACTTAAACTGAAAATTTGATGGCACACTGGCACCTGAATCTTGGGCTTCAATGTGTGTCACCTCATTGTATTACTCTTGACCATTTCCACTTGTTTCCATTTTGGAGCATCTTGTGTTTTATTATGTACTCAAAACAAAGGTCCCTTTTAAGCACAAATCTAGGTAGTGTTACACAATGCATCAGGTTTGTTGTCATCCTATAGTTGGGTTGTTACATTGGTCAAGCTAAAAGCCTAAAACAATTGGGTTGGAAATTTCAGCTGGTGGAACCCTTTCATGGTTTATAGGGCTATAACCCGGTATTGGAAGTATGAAAGTCTTGGTTTTGCAACACAGTAGAGCCTTTTCCTGAAGTTGACATGACAGAGAAGAGGAACACCAAAGTCCTCAAGGAACTTTCCTCGATACCCAGTGACAGTGAGTTTATACATCGTGGCGGGTCTCTCTCACAAAAAGCCTAGCTAGACATACATAACTGCCACCATACCGGGTCCTCAACCAGTGATCCATCCTCAGCCTGTCTCAGGTAAATATGCTTCCACAATGTTCTGCTATTTGTGTTAACGACAATACAGAAGAATCACTGACATTCTTTCACCATTGAATGTTCTTTTCTGGAACTACAATGCAACCGACAACGATAGACATTCACTTGGGAGGCAGCCAGAAAGCATCTATGCTCTGTACTGATGCACGCTTGCACCCCCAAAAATTTATCCACCAAAAGCAAAGCGCCCAACTCAACTATTTGTCATCTTATCCTGTCCTTCCATTTTCCAAGTCAAGATGCTTGTCTGGCCTTAGTCATGCTCTCTCAGCAAACAACTAGATAGCAATGGCGTTTTAATTTGATAAATATAAGAAAACGTTTCAAAATCTGAAATTTGCATCAATCACAGACATGCCCAGCAATAAATAATATAGGATTTAAGAACAGCAAGCTGCTTCAGACGGAGTTCTGCATTACCCCCATCTTTTTGTCCTTTGTTGACATTACAAGCTCAGTCCGAGCCCATGGCGAAGCAACATATCATGAATAAGCGAGTGGGTAGAGGCATCATGCAAGTTTTGGCCCAACTTCCAAATTAGTCCTTTTTGATACAACCTGATATATGAGAACTCACCCCTAAAAACTAGCTGTTAGAGGGAGGGAACCCAAGCACATATATACCTAACAGCATCCCATTCTACCAATGTGGGATACCTCACATTAACATTCCATACTACCAACATGTGGATGGCCGAACCCTGCAAGAAGGTTGGGCGAAATTTCAAAAATTTCTCTCTCCTATTTGGGAATCACATTCCCTATTTTAGAAAACTGCATTGTCAATGATCAATCTTGAAACAAACTGGACCAGACCTAAAACCAAAAGAGAGGAGAGGGATATACTTGATACGGAGTAACAGTAACTCCCAATGAAGGTGTTCACGCCCAAGGAGAAAACCAAAATCTGCTCCCACTGAAGATGACACAGTGTGAGGTAAAGCAGAATCAACAGGACGGCTCTTCAGCAAGAACCGAATTCTTCAGCAAGAATGTAGTAAAGGGCTGATGAGCACAACTTCAGATTGCCTCTTCTAGCAAAAAGCAATATAAAGAACGATTCTTGGTCACTCCCACAGGTGGAGATCAAACTGGGTAGATGCGGCAAGAACAGGAAGAAAAGAGCAGAAGACAGGAGCAGTCAAACTGTGTGTTGTCTTCTCTTTTAATTCAGCAGACTGTGAGTCTGTTTGGATGTCCGCCCTGCTCTCCTATTTATAGCCTTAAAGAGATGTTCTCCTAATTTTATTAGGACTTTCCTAATCCAAATTTTATATTTGGATCTGCACTCTCTTTAAGAGATAAGAATAATCCCTTATCTTATCTGCAAATAAAGAACAACCTTCCTAATCAAATTAGGAGTTTCCTGATCCAAACATTTATTTGGATTTGGACTCTTTGAGTGGATATTGATAATCCCTTATCCTATCAGCTGATCCAAATCCCAGAACCGCCCCTTATTTAATTAATCTCATTAAGCCAGTTCGAATGGGCATTAGGCCCATTAAATCTATGTGCTCACTTAACCTCTTAACCACCTACCCAGTTGGCTATCCTTGTATGGCGTTGGACCCAAACATTAATCTACACATCAGTCACATGGGTTCAGCCCAGCCTTTATTACAAGACCTGGTCGAATTCACTGTAGGAGATAGTGAACCCCTGAGTCCATCACCATGGGCTCTTAACGGGCCCAACATTTATACTAAATGGTCTTTGGGTCCAGCCACCTTATGAAAATCCAAGGACTGTGGGCAAATGCAAGATTAGTCCATCAATTATTACCCCCAATAGTCTTACACTTAACCTCTCAACCCATAATGATCAAACACTATCCGACAAGAGATGACCTCTCCCTCAGCTGCAAGGTGTAGTGCTGCACTCTCTACTCGCAAGGATCCCGAGAATTAAAACATTTTGCAAACATTTTGAAACCATAATATATATATGTATATCTTTATATAAATATATTTTGCAAAACAAATTTCAAGAGTTGAAATCAACTGCCAGCAGTTTAGGTTTCCATCAGAGAGAGTGCATCCCTAATCATTCACTTTGTCCAACAAAGGGGGGCTGATCTTATCACTATGATCACCCACTCAGATGAATTCTCAGATTGTCCCAACATACCCAGGTTTTGACCCCCCTTTGAGGATCTCACTGATTGGCATATCAAAGACAGCCCAATCCGACACATAGTGCAGTATCATAATCGAGTCTAGGGRTTAGGTGTAACATTCCAGTTTTGTCCATCTATCTCCAAGGTCAAGGGTAATACTAGAATTTTGGTTTGATTCAGGGTTTCAAGAAAACTCACACCACATGTACCTCAGGTCTCACCCTAGCAGCTAAGACAAGCTACCCTAACCAACTTGGCGGCACATCAGTGTCAGTCTTGACAAGATAAATCTCCCCAGATCTATCCAATGGCTGTGAAGATTCTAAACTAACACGAATCTCATTAAATGTCTAGTTTAAGGGTATTACACAGAAACACACCACAATGACATGCATCAATTATGTACTTTATTCTTTTACAATAAATGTCAAAAAGGTACATCAATATTATTGGAGCTAAAGGGCATAACTGTCTAACAGCTCCCACTTGCACTTAGGTCCAATTGGGTACGAGCTGGAGTCACATACTTTCCACGTGTTTCTCAAACACTTTCTGTGTTAGTGGCTTAGTCAATGGGTCTACTACATTTTCCGTTGATGCTACCTTCTAAATTAGGACGTCTCATCTTCCAACTCTCTCCCGCAATACATGGTACTTCCTCTCGATGTGGTTCGACTTCGAGTGGGCTCGTGGCTCCTTAGCCTGAGCAATGGCTCCAATGTTGTCACACAACAATGAAATGGGTGATATGCTGGATGRAACTACTCATAATTCCTGAATGAACTTCATTAAAACGGCTTCCTTGGCAGCTTCACTTACGACAATGTATTCGAATTTGGTTGTGGAATCTGCGATGGACCCCTATTTGCTATTTTTCCAACAAACAACACACAATCCTATCGTGAATATATAACCAGACACCTAGTGCAGTATTATAATCGAGTCTAGGGGTCAGGTGTAACATTTCAATTTTGTCCATGTATCTCCAAGGTCCAAGACAATATTTGGCCCGGTTCAGGGTTTCAAGAAAACCCACACTGCATGTACCTCAAATCTCACCCTAGCAGTTGAGACAAACCACTCCAACCAACTTGGCGGCACATCAATGTTAGCTTTGACAAGATAAATCTCCCCAAGTCTATCCAACGGCTGTGAAGATTATAAACTAACACGAGTCTCATTAAGTGTCTAGTTTAAGTGTATTACACAGAAATACACCACAATGACATGAATCAATTATATACTTTATTCATTTACAATAATTGCCAAAAAGGTACATCAATCTGATTGGATCTAAAGGGCATATCTGTCTAACACATGCTTCTGTAGTCCCGATGCCCACGCAGGCTGGCTTTACACAAGACCATCTAGTATCGGCCGAACACTACAATACCACGTCACCACCTGCACCGCACGATTGCAACTAGGAGGCATAGCTTTTAGGGGTGAGTTCTCCTAAGGCACATAACAAATGGTCTCAGAGCCAGACATTCCATCTGGAGAGGAGATATCGAATCTAGAAGAAAGGATAAACTTCCTACAAAGAAACCAGGAGGGAATCATGGCCAAACTGGCAAAGATTTTGGAACGTCTGGGTCCTCCACCTCCGGTAGGAGGGAATCCAAAACTGAACATCAATCAATCTATCTCAGAAGGTGCGGGTGACAGAGGCAAGGAAACGGAAGCTTCTAATAGGACTGGGGAATCGATCGGCATAGGAACATGGAGACCAAAGTTGGAACTCCTCAAGTTCAATAGGAAAAATCTCGATTGTTGGTTGGTGCTATTGCAACAATACTTTTCTCTCCTAAGGCACATATCACAACCCAAATTCCAAAGTCTCAAGAAAAGAAATCTTTTTTTTTTTAACATTTTATGGCATTTTCTCGTAAAAAACAAATCCCATTTGCTAGTTTCCCTAAAAATTTCTCAATCACCTCCGATACAGGAAGTATAAAAACAAACAAAAATACAAATTAGGGCAAGTAACCATACAAAAACCAAATTCTACCAAAGATCATTTCTTTTTTGATATTGAGCTCCTCCGTTTAACCTCTTTCTCTGCAATCTGAACGCAAAACTCTGCTCCAAGCATCTCATGCATATCAAGATTCAGTGAAGTACTAAAATCAACTGTGTCCGAGATCACTTCAACAGTCAGATTGAAGCCCAACGTAGACAAAACTCTAACAGCATTTGCAAACCTACATATGTTCTGCCTTGTTGCCAAAGGAGTGTAAATGCTTTCTTGTTCTTCAAGATTCATGGATCTTTGATTCGACTGGCTTATCTGTTGTTCAGGTTTGTTCTCTTGATCTTCTACCATATTATCCCTGGCTTCTACATGTTCACCTACCCAGATAAATCCATTACATCCAAGAATCAAATCAATTCCGTACTGTTCAAGGTGGTGGAAATGCTGCTTGCGTCTCTTCACTAAATATGGAGGGACAGTCAACAATTGACCCCTTCCCAACTGCATCATCAATCATAGTCGCATTATAAGAAATAAAAAAAAAGAAGAGTTAAAAGCTTTAGATTGCAGAAAAAATACATGTTATCTTTAGGAAACAACTTTTAGAGCTTACTGCTTTAAAGGTGCAAATTTACACCCGAGCCGCAAGGCAAGTGCCTTGTTGAAGCAAAAATACCAAAAAAATCAAAAAATTAAAAAAAAATGCAAAAAATATTAAACATTATATTAATAAAAATATAAACTTGAATTTTAAAATTAATGTTTTAAAAAACTTATTATCTAAAATTAAAATACATAAACATAACATGTAAAGCATATTCAAATGAAAATTTAAAAATAAAATCAAGCATATAAAACATTTTCAAGCATGTAAAACCCACAATCTCTTTTTTACCTTAATCGCATTACTTCAAGTAGCTAATGTGATATAAAACATATTACATTCCCAATTCTATGAGCCACCTCTGTGCCACGCCCCTCGAGGCAAACCCAAACAAGTCCATGTTATGTTCTTAAATTCTTAATTTTTGCACAAGAAATAATGATTTTATAATTTTAATTGCCTTTTAATAAGATATTTTATTAAAATAAATGAATGAACAACATTAGAAAATAGGGGGTTCTCGGCGCTTCAGTGAAAGAGTGAGGCGTGTGCCTAGGACCTGGGCAAGGCACCTACCCAAAAATACACCTCGCCTGTGCGCCTAGGCATGCCTTTAAATCAGTGTTAGAGCTGTAAAAGAGCAAAGCTATTTCTACTCGTTCTTGAGATCAGTTTACATCATCCAAGTGCAAGTCCCACTTTAAGCCTCTTGTTAATTTTCTTTTCTTTTAATATAGAAAAGTTGCAAGTCTCATTTTAACCCCTTCCCTGATGACCTGTAAATTCTTGGTCTGTGCATGTGTACAAACATTAGATACCTTTCCATACTTCTGACTTCTTGCCTGTAGGTGTAAACTGCCATCATGCTGGAAACCACGAACCTCTGCCTGAAAAATGAAAATTGATTGAAGCATTAATTAGTTTTCTGCCTGGTATTAAACAGAATGTAAGGGTGAAACATGATTAGGTTTGGATGATAATGAAGATCAATTAGTTTTCTGCCATTCTACCATGTCATAGACACGTGTAAGCTAAAAAGCGAAGTATCTTTGCTAGAAGTAGTGGCACAATTACCCTGTTTGCCACTTGCCACTGGTTGCAAGATGCAAGTATACACCTTCATGGTTCATGTACTCATCAACATTTTGTTCACATGCTTTTTTCTTAAGAAACTAGTCTTGTTCAAGATTAAGTCTGTATATCAGACTTCATTGGAGTAACCATAAAATCGGGCTGACAAGTCTGGAAATGGCCCACTCTGTGTGGAATAAAAAAGAGCCTTAAGGTTAGGTCAGTATCCAGTCCACCCCTCCAGATTCCAAAGAACCCAGATTAGAGGTGATCATTTCTTGGATTGGGCCCAAAACTTACAGGCCTGGCCTAGCCTGTAGCACTCACATCCAAGGCTTCCAATCCTTATCCCAAAACATAGGCCCAAAGCTCAAACCGGGTCCATACAGATCCAGGCCCAGGGTCCAGACCAGGCCTGGGCTATCTCTCATCATAATTCATAGGTACTAAACCTGGCCCCATCCTGGCCTTTCTGAGTCTCAAAGTTTACAAAACTAAACATAGATATAAACATGTGGTACACTTGTTCTGGTTTGGAAAATAGTTTTAAGTTCAAGATTATGGAACTAAAAGACAAAACCGAGTTGGTTTTGAACTTATGTGGCCATAAGAAAACTTCTTCTGACCCAAACTGAGCCAACCAAATATTTATGACCGAATTGACTTGTCTGGAGATTCAAATAATTACAAACTACAAGAATCAAAGCTTCTGATATTTCAAGGCATTTCATTTGCATCTTAGTGGACATGAATCATCCACTAATTGAACCAAATCTCTGATATGACATCATTCTCTTTATGTTCTTTATTACAGAGAGAGAATCAGTGGACTTACACATATGACATCATTCTCTTCAAAAATACTGCGCATGTTCAGTTCATCAACAGCAGTCCGCCGCCTCTAGCAATCAAAAAGCGAGTGAAACCATGAATAATGAATACAGATAATAGCTTTCATTCACATTAGAAACTTAACCAAGGAATAAGTGAAATTCCAATTCTCCAATACCGAAAATTTAATGCAAAACAATATACAGAAGCTTTTCTGAAGTGGCATTAGGTTCTACTCCCTGGCTAGATTCATGCAGAAAAAAAAAAGTATGAAAATTTGGTTTGTGATCTACTGAAGAACTGGCTCAACATCTAAAGCTATAATTATTTATCAAAAAAAAAAAAATCTAAGTGCTATGATGCCTCAATGCTGGTAAATTAACCAGGATGATAAACATTCACAGCATTAATAATAAATCCATAAAACTCCAGCAAGCTAGCTCCACTATTAAGTAATCAATTCCTGGTTCAAACCAAAGTATTTGAATATGCATTTTCGTTGAATACACTAGCTTCCTGTAAAGGTCACTTTGCTTAACCATTTTTTAATCAGCAATGTGCAAAAATTTTATTGATGTTAGAGGGAATATACAGTTATAAAAGAGGAAATATACAGAAGTTTTATTGATTTGATCAGTATCTTTGACGTTCATCAAATTCTAATAGGAGAGAACATGAAAGATGTGTCAGTAGATTCTATTGTTAGAGGCAGGCAGGTTACTGCAAAGTCTCCACTCCATAGATAGACTGTCTATTCGGGATCAGGTTCCCTTGGATCAATGGACTATTAAACTTAACTTCGATGGTTGTGTGTTTTATATTGCTTAATTGCAAACTTGAGACCCTTGGGAGTTAGTTTGAGTATATAGATGCTAGGGGGAGAGATCATTCCAGTTTATATCTGAACCTATTGACACTGGGAATTCCATTATAGAAAGAAAAGGTAAATTACAAAGGCCCACATGAACTTTCATTTGCAACAAAGACCCCCCTGAATTTTCACTTTTGACAAATACCCCCTTCATTAGAGTTCCATCAGTTAACTTTGAAAAAGATTCTCATTCAGCTGTTTAATATTTTTTAAATCCCAAACCATCCTTTTCTTATTTATTTGAATGATTTATGATTCAATTAGTTTTCTAAATATAATATTGAAGTCCTCTCAGTTGCTCTAATAGATCCTTGCAGATTTCTGGCTGAATTCAATATTCAGATAAAATGGTAGAGGTTTTTATCTGATAGGTATAAATTTAAGGTTTCATTTAGTTTTTCTTGGTTTATTGGAGGTAGGAGTGGATGATTTTTATATTTTAAGATGAAGAGTGGCATTCATGTCAGTGAAATGAAACAAGAATTTAAAGAAACTTGTTTTTCTGTTAATGAAATGACCCTTGTTATTTTAGCTGGTTTCATTTTGAGAAAATGGAGGTATTTTTGGGGTCACTTGGGGTTTAAGAGAAAAGGGTAGGAAAAGAAAATAAGGAAAGTTCAGGTGGGTATTTTGGTAATTTAATGCATTCTGCCATCTGACTTAATGGCCAGGGGTATTTCTTATAATGTGAAAGTTCAGGGGGTCTTTGTCACTGACCCCGTAGAAGAAATGTTGTCCCAACCTCAAAGCCTCAGGTTGACGTGCTCCATGGCATTGTTTTGAGACAGGCTTTGATGATGATGATGATGACAACAACTAATGCTTTTAATTTTCTTAGAACATCTGCAATTTCAAAAAATTTTGTTCTAGTATGTCCAAATGAAAAGGGCAAATTTGATGCAAAACACCCCTAGAGCGAAATTTTATTGGGTGAGTGAAGATGGTTCAAATCACTCTTAATGGTTGGATGATTTGATGCAGTATGATCAGAGAATAGGGTGATAAACAAGAATGGTAGGATATGGAAAGAATTTAGAGTACAAAGAAAGAATGAGCTGAGTCAAACAGCCTTAAACTAGTCTTTGATGCCTCATCTTAAAGCTCCAATTTGAGATTGGAATCTCATTCAGAGTTATTACATCTCTGAGATAGTTGGAGTCAACCACCAAGAAAGTGCATAAAGAAGTTCAAATTCTATTTTCTTAATTGACTACTAAAAGAACTAACAAATTTATATAGCCTAAGCTTTCTTGCTAGTTAATGGAATTAGTATTGAATCTCAATTACAACTTCCAAGCTAATCTTCGTAGAATACAATTTTAATTCCCAAGACATTTCATTTTTTTTTTGAAATCTTAGCTAATTTTTCTCATTTAATATCAGTGTTTTAAAAGCACAAGGCGCAAAAAAAAGCGCAAGGGCCAATTTGCGCCTGAGGCACAAGGCGAGGCGCGCGCCTTTTTAAGAAAGGTGAAAACTACAAAAAAAAAAGCTAAAAAATAAAAAAAAATGTCAAAATTCAAAAAAAAATGCCAAAATTTAAAAAATGCAAAAAAAATATTAAACATAATGTTAATAACAAGTATAAACATAAATTTTAAAATAAATGTTTTAAAAAACCAATACATAAAAATAACATGCAAAGCGTATTCAAATGAAAATTTAAAAATAAAAGCAAACATATAAAGCATTTTCAAGCATGTAAAATCTCTTTTTTTCCTTAATTGCATTGCTTCAAGTAGCTAATGTGATGTAAAACATATTGCATTCTTGATTCTATGAGTCACCTTTGTACCACGCCCCTCGAGGCAAGCCTGAACAAGTCTATGTTAGGGTTTGAAATTCTTATTTCTCACATGAAAAATAATGATTTTATAACTTTAATTGCCTTTTAAGAAGATATTTTATTGCAATGAATGATTTTACAACTTCGCTTGCTTCGGTGAGCGAGTGAACTGGAGCTTCGAGAACCCCCTATTTGCTAATGTTGTTTGTTCATTCATTGCAATAAAATATCTACTWAAAAGGCAATTAAAGTTATAAAATCATTGTTTTTCATGTGAGAAATAAGAATTTCAAACCCTAACATAGACTTGTTCGGGCTTGCCTCAAGGGGAGTGGTTGGGGGTCCAGGGGGTAGAGCCCCCAACCTAGCCGTTGGCTCAAAAAAAGGCAAAAAGCGCAAAATTTTAAAAAGGTGCACACCTGGGCTGAGGCGCAAGGCACATTAGGCGCACGCCTAGGTGCACCAGGCGTGTGCCTTTTGAAAGGGGTGCGCCTAGGACCTGGGCGAGGCGCATACCCCAAAATGTGCCTCGCCTGTGCGCCTAAGCGCGCCTTTTAAATCATATCTCATTGATTCTTTTCAAACAATTGCCCATGAAAGATACATAATCTCATCCATGAAATGAGAACAGACAAGAACAAGCATCACATATCATCCATATTAACAGATACCCATAAGAGACACACAAAGCAACAAAAGAAAATAAGCCCAACATCCATGGTAGTGACGGTCTCTTGAGAGCATAGACGACATCCATGGCAATGACGGCCTTCTGGCGATTGTGCTCAGTGTAGCTAACGGCATCACGAATGACATTTTCAAGGACTATCTTGAGAACCCCATGAGTCTCCTCATAGATGAGACCACTGATAAGCATGAAACCACCATGTCAAGCCAACCGCCGAATGGTAGGCTTGGTGATACCTTGGATGCTATCCCTCAACACTTAGCAATGCCTCTTCACTCCTCCCTTTGCCAATCCTTTACCTCCTTCCCCTCTTCTTGACATTTTCTCCCTTTGCAAATCTTCTCTCCCAAGACATATCTTAGTAGCTAAGTACTTATCTTTGTAATCTCTAGGTTGGATCTTGTCATCTTCCAAGCTTCATTCAATTCCAAGAAAAACCAATAACAAGGTCCATGCAAGATGCATTCAATTCTTTGTTCAAATTTTTATGATTAATTGGTTGGCTGGTCATGGATCTAAGTTTTGAGTATGGTTCACGGAAGATTTGAACATTGTTATATGGATTATGGGTTTGGATTTGCAGATGGTCATGAAAATGTGCTTGGAATTTGGTACTAGCACAAGCTCGAGTATGGTCATGGGTTTGCACCTGTGGCTTTAGACTTTCATCTTCTTATATTCTTCTCCATCATATTAGAAAGGTTCTAGAGCCTTGACTTCCAAAATAGGCTTTAGAGCCTTGACTTCTTGCACCTGTGGTTTACCTCCCTCCACTTATTTGTAATTTTTCTTAATTGAATTCGATAAAGATTTCATTTATTGATCAACAAAAAAAATCCTAAGGTCTGCTAGCTTCCAGATGGTCTTCTTAGGGGTGGGTTGGGGGAATGATTTGTATTTCTCCAAAACAGTTAGTTATCTTGTCCATTATCTCCTTGTTATTTCTACTTGCTCCATTAAGGTTTCTTAGTTATTCTTTCTGAAGAATAAAAGAAAATATTTATTGATAAAAATAAAAAACCAGATTACAGCACTAACAAGGATTTTAAGATAACACCCGAACCCACTATCAACAACAGCAAGCCTTACAATGATGAAAGACTAACCAAAAGAAAGACCGAGAACACACCCCCCCCCCTTCATACATTCGCTAGTCTTCAGGATCAAACATCTCATCCTGCCCATCATCGTCCTCATCCCAAACTTTTTCTTCTTTTTGTCCCATATTCTTCTTCGTTTTCTCTTCCCTTTTACTCATTTCAAAAGTTCTTCTAGCAAACTCTTCACCTCCCCATAAGAATAGCCCTAAACTCTTGCCAATTCTTACCTCCCCGTCCACCAAGGTCTTAATCTCCACTTTCTCCCCCTCCTCGTCAGCTTGTTGAGACAAGGTAAGACTACTATCACCAGCATGGTCTCCCTCGTCCTTCTTATCCCTTGACTCTTGTCTAACCTCCAGCTCTTCTTTTGTCAGGGTCGACGTTATTTCCCCTTTGGCAACATGAACCCCCCCCCCCTCATCACCCTTTTTCTTAGTTACCCTACATGATTCATTGCAAGGGGTTTGTCTTCTTTTCCTAGTAATAAACTCCTTTTAAGATAACACCCACTATCAACAATAGCTAGGCTTACAATGACGCAAGCAATGATTTAAAAGGCATGCCTAGGCACACAGGCGAAGCGCATTTTAGGGTAGGCGCCTCGCCTAGGTCCTAGGCGCAACCC